ATCGTTTTTATGGAAACACAAAACATTTATTGTGAAATTTTGAAAAATACGAAAAAAATAACCGATGCACTCCTATTAAGGACAACCTGTTGCGAATGAATGTTCATTCATTTTCGTGTATTTTAAACATATATTTAATAAAACCTCCTAGAGGGAAAAGAAAAAAAAATCGAAAATAGCTAAGGAAGTTATATGCCAATTATAATTATAGCATCGAATTCACTGCTGAAAGACGGTGAAGATTTTTTTTCTATTTATCCGTGTGATTTACACGAGATTATTATAATTACTTCATGGAAAACAGCTGTGTTATCATAATCACGCCAAAAAAGAAAAAGAAAATAAATGACCATCTCTGAAAGTGACCGGTTGAAAGTGACATAATCATTTGCTGAATAAAGCATATAATAGTATAAATGGTACATTTCACTTTTCATAGATGATATTCTCGTTGTATCTATACTTTTCTGACGACATCTTTTGTTGAATAAATCAAGAGAAACAATGACTTTTGTTAACCAGACTGACGAGAAAAACTTGTATATAAACAGAGAATGAACATAGTCAGTCATATACCGAATAAGTATTTTTTGACATCAACGAATAGTTAAGACAATTTTTATTTTATAATGCTTTATTCAATTTTAATATACATTCTATTTACAAATATTCAACGGTTGGTTTTTACAGCATTGCCTCCACCACCTCGTAAGTAAAATAAACAACTTTTGTTTAAAACTGCAATAAAAAATAAGTACACTTTGGATTTTCATTGATTAGCGAAGTAAAATCTTCAGGTCCTTAGTAAAAAAATGTTATTTAAAATCGATTGAAGTTTCTAACTGAGAAATTGTTTCATTTTGAGGAATTATTTTGAAAATAAACGAAAAACCGCGGCAAAACATGATAGGAAATCGTAAGATTTTTTACATTGAGAAATTAACATTATCGATTTTTTTATTAATTGACAGTAGAGAGGAAATGCAGTGAATAAACATTTTACATAAACAGTTCTAAAAAAGTCAAATTTTATATCGAGTATTGTTGTTTTAGCTCAACATGCTGTATACATACATTCAGTTGTTACTGGTGAAAATTATAAAATGGACTGTTCTTCAGAAACTGGTAACGGTAGAGTCACATGGATAAAAAATAATAAACCATTGATACTAACAAATAGAAATAAATATGAAGTTGAAAGTCGTAACGTTGTTATAATTAAAAATGTAACAAAAGAAGATGTTGGAATTTATTTTTGTGAAAGTAAAAATAAAGATTTTTCAAGAAAATATTTATTGACTCTTAAAAGTAAGTTGTTTTTTTATTTTGTTGTGTGTCTCACTATTTCTGTTCGTATAGATGAACAAGATATACCACTAACATTTGAAACTGTTGGTGACGAGACTGGTCTCTATTGTTATCCTGATCATAAAATAACGACGGGTAGTAATGATGTTTGGTTAAAAGATGGCAAAATATTACCAAATGATAGTCAACAAAACAAATATATCTATGATGAACATGTTTTATCAATAAAGAACATTACGAAAAATGATGCTGGTGTTTACTCCTGTCAACATTCTGGCAGTGTTCATCCTATGACCAGATTAATTGTAGAAAAGAGTGAGTGAAATATATTTTCATTTTTCTATTGAACATGCTTTCCCATCTTCATTGATGAAACCAGGTATGCACCCAGCGCGTACGATCAGGGGGAGGGGAGGTGAAAGTAATAGGATTTCCCACCCCTGAAATTTTCTTCTTTCTCCCTGGATAAAAGATTTTCACTATGTACGCGAAAAAAGTCTTTCTCCTTGACTTTGAGAGACTTTCTTTCTGAAAATTCCCCCTCCTGTAAAAAGATCAAACGAAAGCTATGGAAATCGGTGCATACCTAGGTGAAACGCTAGTGTTAACAAAGTTATAACTAAATCCATAACTTTTGTCCTCAATATTTTTAATAAAGAGCAACAGATTGATCAAAAGTAGGCGTTTTTAATACGTTGTGAGGAACAAATAGAGTAATCTCTTTTGATTGATTTTTTTTATCAAATTTCACATTATGTGAAAGTATTAAGAAATTCTAAGAAAAAAATTGTTTTGAACTTCTCAAATTCATATTTTTTCTATTGTTATAGATAGATCACACACAAATCGAATGTATGCATTTGCTGATGAGGATATCGGTCTTGAATGTTATCCTGGTAATAAGATTAAATTAGATCATAATGATGTTATCTGGTTGAAAGATGACAAACCATTATCACTCGTTAATAACCAAGATAAATACGTTCAGGATAAAACTCTCTTATTAATTTATAATCTATCAAATGAAGATACTGGCGTTTATTCGTGTAAATATTCTGGTGGTATACATGTTGTGGAAAATCTAATTCTTCTACCGGGTAAGAATGCGTTTTTAACTGTTGCTTTCAACGTTTTAATAATCGGAAGTGAGATTAACTGTGTTTGATACTGAAATTTTACCACTTCTGCTGTCAACCTTCATGAAAGATTTAGTCTTAATTGAACTTAATAGCAAAACAAAGGTAGAACATAGTAAAATTCGTTCGTGTTACCATACGAAATTTGTTGGGATAATCGAAAGTCTCTCAAAATATTTTAGTAGTGATGATGCAGTGCTTTGATCAAGAAACGTCACAACATATAGGAAAGAAGTTTTTAAGAGATGTTTTGCATAAAATGGCAGCATAATGCGTTTTTTGTAAGCTTTCATAGAGCCAATCCCAGTAGCATTTTGTACAACTATATTGAACTAGTTTTCCAGCTAGATTATGATTAGGATCACATCAGCACTATTAATCAGTGTACATTTTGTGGTAGGTTAAGTAACACTCGGTCTTCTAGGTCGAAAAAAGTAGTAGAAAATACCTATTTTTCTCAAACATTTTTAATAATAAAAAGGAAATAGTTGGATCACAAACGAATTTTTTCTCTAAATGTTTTTTGCGTATAAAGTTAACTTAATCGGCTTAAGTGTTACAAAAATGAAATTTTATGCATAATCTAAAATATTAATAAAATGCTAGAATTTGAAGAAAAAACTTTCAAAAGTTGGTGAACTGTTTTTCAAAACTCAAAAAGCGTGTCAGGTTTAGGTCTGACTATTTGTTCATATGCATTAGGATTAAGATCTTGACTTCACTTTTTCCAGTAAGACTTTGATAAGAAAATGAAAACTTTAAGAAATTTCAAAAAGTCAAGAACTTGGATATCTTTGAATTTCTTGACTTCTGGTACCAAGACTATAAACAAGATCGTCGGTGAGCGGATCTTGTATCCAAGATCTTGGTAATTCTACCGGTTTATTTCTTACTTTTGTTTATATATAGATACGAAATAACTTGTTGAAACCATGTTTTTTCCCTTGTTTGTTCTGCAAACTATTTTGTTTCAATGCTAAAAAGTCGAAAAACATGTCCCTCTGTTTAGTTTTTGATGGACTTTCAAATGACATATTACTCGAATAAAACGTACAAAAATTAACAGAATTATGCACAAAATACTGACGATAGCACTTTTTCGAACTTTACCGATGGGCCTCATTTGGTAAATTCTATAACTCCGTCGAAATAAGTCAGAAGCGGATAGAAGCTTTTTCATAATCCCAGATTTGATTGTAGAATCCGAATATAAAATAAAAACTATAGGTTAATTTTTTGCTTGTGACTGCTTTTTGCCAGGATGCTTGATTCGCTAACGAGACGTCTCTTAAGTGAACAGCGTTAGTAAAACATCTAAAACTGCTCAGATTATCTTGCGATGGAACCGCTCGAGGTAATAAATCGCTTTTTGACTCACACTCTTTTCATTATGTAGGGAATAATGAGCAGTGAAAAATGCTCAATTGGTTTGGGCCCATGGGCCTTTTTGATGAAGGTATGAGTTAATTAATGAAAATGTCATTAATAATAATTAAGTAGAAAACTCACCACCCTGATCAGCTAGAAGTCTGAGATTTTCACCATTGGTGAAGATAGATGTTACCTAATTACTGTGGCAGTTTTGGGCTTATAAACCAAAGCTTTCGCAAGATATGAATCTTTTATGATTTAAACAGTTTTTAGTGAAAAATCGCCGTTGAAATTGTTCTCCGGTTTGAAATACTTCTGTTCGTGTTAGAAATGCTTGGCGGCTCTTAGGGACCTATATCTATATATAAAATAAGCCTTTAGTGAGCCGATAGAGGCATCTAAGAGGTGAGAACAATTTCTTAGGTTTTCAACGGCGATTTTTCACTAAAAACTATTCAAATCATAAAAGATTCATATCTTGCGAAAGCTTTGGTTTATAAGCCCAAAACTGTCACAGTAATTAGGTAACATCTATCTTCACCAATGGTGAAAATCTCAGACTTCTAGCTGATCAAGGTGGTGAGTTTACTACTTAATTATTATTAATGACATTTTCATTAATTAACTCATACCTTCGTCAAAAAGGCCCATGCGCCCAAATCAACTTAGCGTTTTTCACTGCTCATCATTCTCTACATAATGAAAACAGTCAAAAGCGATTTATCACCTCGGACTAAAAACAAGATTGTCGGTGAGTGAATCTTGCATTCAAGATCTTGGTAATTCTACCGTTTGGTTTCTCACTTTCGTTTATTATACGAAATAACTTGTTATTTGATAACTGAGTTATTTTTATTTCTTGAACATATTCGAGAAAGAGCTTACGAGCGTATATGAACTTATGTCTGACCCTATAGCCATCTTATTGAAAAGAAAAATATTATAAAAGTTTTTTATGCAAGTTCTTAAAAAATCCTGGCTTATTTCATACATGATCTTGAAATTCATGTTCACATAACCTTGGTGTAAGGTTTCAGACTTGGAGATCTTAATTGCTTCGCGGTTTTTCCAATATCTTCTGACATTAGTTAACCCAAGAACTTGGGGAGAAGGCTTTTACACATTACATAAGTGAAAGGAATTTTGAAGTTCTTCTTGGAAAGAGAAGTTTCATATACGTCGAAATGAATCTTGAAAGAAGAGAGACTGATAGCTGATGTTTTAGTTAGTTTGATTGTCTCAGTTTCCGAAGCGATCAGTAAAACATAGCGGATATATTTAAACTCAAATCTAGAAGCAATCATAATGAATTCGATTCGCTTTCACTTATTCGGATGACATTGAAAGAGAATCACATAGAGAAATTCATCTCCTTCTCTATTCTTAGTTAGACGTTGATTTTGAATTGATCCGGTATTTTTTGTATGTATATTTGTGCTTTTATTGTAGGTAAACGATGGATCTAAACACAAAAATGTGGCAAAGAATAAAAACTTTTTAATTTTTTCTTCTGTGTCGGTGTGTTAATCAATTTTTTTCTTTTTTATGTTCAAATAATAAATTTATGTTTTAATATAGAGTATAAAAATTCTCCATGTTTCATACGTTACTTTGTATATTCCAATATGGTCTCTTAATGACAAAAAGTGGTTTAGGTCAACATTTCTATAGGGAAGATAATGATCGGGTGGAAGTTATAGTTAGACGTGCTCTTTATTGTGAGTTTGGTATTAGAATGATTTAAATTAGGCAACAGAAAAGGGCTCGGTTAGTGGAAGTGATTATGGTCAAAAGAAAGCACTCGGTGGTTTTCTGAATAAGTCTGATAAAAGAGCAACAAACAACCGCAGTTTTCCAATTCACTCTCCAAATAAGAGTGAAAACATGACTTAAATCTGTCATATACGTCTGATGTTAAATTTTCTTCGTAGACGATCTGTTAGGTTTCGAAACCGTGAAAGCTGACGTCTGGATAGATAAGAAAATTCTTGTAGAAATCTTTTTCTTTTGCAATATAAAGTGGAGGCAAAAAGTTCATTTGCAGGAGTTTAAAAAAACAGGATTTTTGGAGATCCTGGGTTTCTGAGAAAATCTTTTTTCTAACAGGTTAAAGTCAAATTGAAATTTTTTGAATAATATATATACACACATCGAAGTCAGCGCTGTACGAACCTAGCTGCTAGGGTTCACGGGAAAGAACAAAAACAAGTCTCTCCTTAATCTTTTTGCCTCCACTTTATGTGTTTCTAACCATACATCTGAATAAGACGTTTATCATCGATATTAGCCATCAGTATTTCTAAACTAACTCAATTTTACATTTTTGGCATGTGTAAGTAGGAGAGTTCATTTCATTGCTTGTAGGATGTGCATCCCATTTTCGGAACAAAACTGTCCTGTTGTGGGAAAACAAATCTAAAAAGGGCTGAGCTGTAGTGTTCTGTTATTGAGAAATTTTTCACAAGAAGGCAGATCTAACATTCTGTTTCTGGGAAATAAATGGGTCTAAGCAGCAGAAGTATTAGGTCTGATTCTCCATAGTCGAATACCTCTAGTGTGAAAGTTGCATGACTGTATGCCATGAAACTACAAACATAGAGCAATTTTGGTTGTCACTCTGTAGACATACATACATGCAAACATACATACAGGCATTTTATTTTTTACGAGACCTTTTCCTTTACAGTCAAGGGAATAGAAGTTCTCACTCAACGCCAATGTGGCCCGTTCCGGCGCATTCCATAAGCCTCTCAAAAAAGGAGAATGGAAAAAGCTGTAAAAAATGGTATGGAATGGGATGGAATGGCCCATTCACCTTTTTCCCCCTTGTAAACAATGCTACAAATGAAAACAGAATTTAAGAAAGCAAAGCACGTCCATGGAAAACATCAAATTCCATTCACTCCAGAGTCCCACTCCGTCACTCCGGATCAGCCCATTCTACCATTCCAGAAACGCTTTTTCCCCGTTGGTTTTGTAATATCCATTTATTGTCTCGTTAATCACTCTTATTCGACAGTGAATTTCACGAGCTACAAAGTGAGCTATAGCACATTATTTCAAAGTTTGTTTTGTTCAGCCTCAAATTTTTTACGAAAATAATAGCGGGTTCAATTCTCTACAAATATGTATTGACTATTTTATTCAAAAATCCGTAGGTGGAAAATGAGATGAGAAATCTTATGAAAACAAAAATTCAGAAAAAATAATGTATTTTAATTGTTCTATTATTCTAATTAAAATTTATTATCTCTTTTGAATTTGCTATTTTGTCCAATTTTATTATCTCAATTGGGGCATTGAACTGTATTATCTCTTTTGGAATACTAAGATTTGTTGTCTCAATTTAAACGTCAGAGTTTATTATCTCTTTTAAAACTACATTTTATTGTCTCTTTTGGGTACATTCAGTTTATTATCTCATATGGAGATGAGGTGAGCCCTCTAAGTAACTCATACTTATCTTAGCGAGATATTATTATATAATGTTATATGTCTCTACGTGACAAATTAGTATTATAATTAATTAAGAAACTAATTAATTGTAGCTGAAACAACAAATGAGATATTTATGAATTTATGAAACTTGTTTGCAACTTTCATAAGTGTATGGTTTATGAAGAGAGAATAATCCGCAAAGTATCCAATTTATGAGCAATAAAAAATGGTCTTCAGAAGACAGAACTGAGGTGAGTGTTTCCTTTCTAAACAAAAGCTTTTGATATTTGCGTAGAACAGGTCATGACTCAATTTTAGTCTACTCGCGTCGAGTTGGAAATCGTGAATAGTTGAACAGTGTCATTTTTCAAAGTTAACAAGTCAATGTTTTCAGTTTTCTAACATCCAATAAACACAAACTTCTGTTCGGTTCTTCGCTTTTCATTTTATTATTTAATTATACTTCGATTTATTTAATAAAGAAACAACCTTCCAGTTCATTAAACCCCCGTCTATTGATGAAAAAGATAGATGTAAACACAGAAAAACGAGCAGTAAGACATAGTGTGTCACTTTTACTCGAGAGGAAAATAAACTGTATACGTTTGATTTACAATTTCGTACAAGGGTAAAAGTCGAAAAGTGGAGCCATCCAAGGCAGTTGCTTCGAACTGAAGGGGTTCGTACGCTGTTGTGTTCACTTGTCGGATGGAAGTCACGTCTCGCGATAATGTTTTTGCTTTATTTATCAAACCTCCAAGAACAATGGGTCCAAATAAAATAGATACCAACTGTGGATTATCATTAATAGGTTCGACATGTAACTGCATGGCCATATTATAAACAATACGATCATTATTTTTCCAGCTAGTTGATGCGAGAAGGGCATAGGTCGAAGGCGTCAGTGTCATTTGTTGACGAACTCCATTTATTTCAATCCAAGATTCATTGGCAACGATCCATGAAGGAACGCGCAGGTAAATCCGGAATGGCACAGCATCGAGAATTGTGGCGACAGTTAAGACAGTTGTTGTCTCTCGAGGAAAGGTTGTTGTTTGTCGAATTGACAAATTGTCGTGTGCTTGCCAGTCGAGTTGGGATGCGACGAACAGATTAACATAGAGTGATGATGCTTCATTTTCTACTTGAAAAAAATAGATTGAATCGCTCATTTTAGTCCACTGATCAATTGCTGTTGTGTAACAACACCAGAAGCTATCGAATTGTGATCCATAGCCGATACCTCCACTACTCACTGCCGTCGGCTTGCTCACACCTTCGCCTAATGGATAACTATACAACATGTGACCAGGTCCACTCGGATCTTGCGTACCCCAAATACTGTTAACAAAGACTCGCTCATAGGCGTTCATAAATTCCACCTGGCCTGTCCATTCGATCAGAACTCGAATTACTTTGAGCATATTGTATTGAACGCAAAATTCTTGATTATTATTCCATAGAGTTTGCGATAAACGATTTGGATCACTATAGTGTTCTTGCTGGTAGAAACCAACCGATCCGTTGCCACCATTCGATCCGCCGGTGGAATATGTATGATTATTCCACACTAGGGAAAAGAAATTTTCGAGAATTGCCCGATATTGCTGTTCGCCTGTAATCGAATAACGTCGACCGCTGCCTAACACAGGCGGTACGTGTGAGTTGGCATGTATACCTTGTAAAAAGTCGGCATTAAGCGAGAGCGCACCGAGAAATTGGCCATCGTCAAATTGTTGCGCCATCCAAAAGAAGCGTTCATCCCGCGTTAGACCATACTGTTCATAAAGAAACTCACTTATGCCACCATATTCATAATCTGTCGTACTAAATATCATAGTGTGCCAGTGAGACGCAGGATAAGTATTTGCACAATGTACCATCCAGGTGTATAAATAGTCGAGCATATCGTGCATCATGCTTCCGGCCAGGGTCATACCAGTAAACGTATACATGTCAGATAGACCACGAAGAAGTTTTTCGTAGCAATAGATAGGTGCCCACACTTTTTCCAAGCGTTCTAGCTTGCGCAAATTTTCCGATGGCCATGCGGCAAGAAAGCCAGAGTCATTGAGGATTTTCTGCACACGACTAAGTTGTTCCACAAGTTGCTGAGCTTTAGCTAATTGACGTGTGTTATTATAGGCTAGATAGGCTTTGACCGATGCTTGCAGATAGAATGCAAGAAAAACGCCACGAATATCACTCTCCGGTGATTCCCATCCACCCAAAGGTTCAATGCCTTCGACGCTCAAATTAGCATTTCGATAATAGGTGTAGAGCAGGCGATCGACAGGTAATATATCCAAATAAGCCTGATTCAATTGTTGTCCGGCGAGACTAGGCGAATGCACAGAATCTACAAGATGCACTTGTTGAAGAAAAAAGGGCGTCAGTTTGTTACTGATGGGAGTTTCACATGGAATTGGAACGGAGTTGACCAAGTGCACAATAATAAAAACGACGACGCCGAGCAGCTTCATGTCACACAATATGAGAGAAAAAAGAAAAAAGTAAAACAATCTTACCTTTGTATTGTTGACTGATAGCTTAAGAAATGTCGAAACTAGACCTTTTGTCTCTTATCAGTCCAAATAGTGGAGTTTGAGAGGAGAAAAACAAATATATTTCTTCGATAGTTTTCGCTGTCAGTACATTATTTTTTAATTTGTAGAGAAAATTGTAATTTGGGAACAAAATGATAAGCAATTTTGAGGAAAGCAGTTTTAACTTTGCTAAAGTAAAGACATTAAAGTCAGAGAGAGAGAGAAACTGTGCAGTTTTCTTCTCATCAACAAGAGAAATAAAACGCACAGAGAAAAAAGAAAAGAAGAAACAGAGACGAGGGTAACGAGTGCTTCTAACACTGATTGCATGAAGGGTCATCTTAATTCTCTTACGTTCATCAATCTTTTGGATACTTACATTTTTGATCCCGGAAATTAGGCACAATTGATCCCGTGTACTAATTTTCGCGAAAAAATGCATAAATGATCCCGGTTTTCCTAATAATTTTTGATTAGTTATATAACAACACAACTGATCCCGGAAAAAGCATTTTTTTTTCGCGAATAACGTAATTGATCCCGGGAAATAAGCAAGTCATGGCACTGCA